TGCCACGCCTCGCACCACTTAAGGCACAATCGTCCAAATATTCCACATCGAGATTCGTAGTTCCGGAGTACCGCCATAGGAACGAGGAACAACAACGTGACCAAAATACACGCGTATTCCCTAGGAGGCAGTGCCTTCGCGTTCGCGCCTCGCACAGTAGTGACAAATCTGTCACTACAAGTGTACCAAAAGAAACAGATAGTAGTACAGCAATCCAGCGCACTAGCAATAAATGCCCATCCCACGTTCCGTAAAGGAGTCGTGACAACCCACGCCACGATGCCAGCCACAGCACAGCCCAACATCGCTCCAGTCTCCATCTCTGGGAAATTAAAAGGTCGGGCCACACCACATCCTTCCAGTGAAACTACTTCTCCAGCAACTCCGCCATTCTCCAATTAAGCCGCTTAAGAACTGAGAGATCTCAGCCAGTGTTGTCCGTTTAGCCATCTCTCGCTCCCCACCTCTGTCTCGCTTCTAGATATATCTCCGCTTCTCGCTAACACACTCTTCCCAATCGCAAACCCCAAGTATCTCATGTCTCCATTCTCTCCTTTCTCCATTATGTAAAGTGCAGCCATACAACCCAGTATCTGAGATATCTCGTTCTCAATACTCGATAGAGTGAAGTCATCACACGCCACTCGTTCCAACCGGTCAAGTAACCAGCTAGAACAACACATCCGCGTCGTCCACGTCAGCGTTGGCTTCGACCAACCTGGCGCTCCGACGTAACTCTCGGCAAACCCTTCTTCTTACGATCTGCATCTTCAAAGGCAGTGATTAACGTCCCGACTCCGGAGCTAGAGCAGCTCGTGACAGCCAAAACGTCTCGTAGGTAGCTGTCAGTACCCAGGTACTGAAGCTCACTTTTTTCCATTTTCCTCGCAAGAATATCAACAATAGGCGACGAGACACCAGCAAAAGCAGTCTCTTCACCTCCAATAGACAAACGTTCCACAAACCTCGATGGAGGTAGATCATCCTCCTGCAATGGTCCTGGTTCCGTACGCATGTCGCTTCCAGTCACGTTCTCTGTTGTCACGTTCTCATCAGTCACGTTCTCGGTAGTCACGTTCTCGGTCGAACCTTCAGGAATATTATCAGCGAACGGTCGACTCCAACGACCACGGAAGCGCTTCAACCGATTCACATTCACCGTAACAACCTTGTCAGGATGTCTGGGTATCGCAATCTTGTAGGCGTTCTCCCCGACTTGGCCGACAATACGGTACGGACCGTGCCAAGAGAGCGCCAACTTCTTCGTCTTGTTTTCACCGCCTTTCGCTCTGAAATACTGATAGACCCAAACGGGATCCCCCACTTCATATGTGACCTTGACTTGCTTACCCAAACGCTGCTCGTGCCGATCTTGAGCCTTTAGTAGCTGTCGTTCCACTAGACGCCTTGAGTCACGTAACGACAAGTACAACTTCCTCCTGTCTTCAGCAACCTCGTTGCTTTTCCAGTCTTTCCAGTGTTGAGAAAGGCTAAGTCGATAGGTCCCCCTATGTCGACCATATAAACTGAAGAAAGGAGTGTCTCCCAGAACCTTAGGATAAGGACATGCGATTATGCCAACAAGAACCCGAGGGAAAATAAAATTTCCACTGGGTTTGGGGTTATGCTTCTCATTCACAAACATATTAAGCATCCCCAACAATGTTCCGTTAAATCGCTCCACTAGTCCTTGAGTTTGAGGATGATAGGCCGCTCCAAACAACTTCTTGATCCCTAGTGTCTGATATAGAGATCGTGCCAAATCAGACGTGAAGTTCGTTCCTCGGTCACTAAGCAATCGTTCTGGAACGCCATGTCTGCAAATTACACCCTCGATCATAGCATCGACGAAAGAGATCGTGTCCAGTGACGCAACCGCGAAAGCTTCAGCCCATCTCGTGAAGTAGTCCACAAACACCAAGATATACTTATTTCCACGCGGTGTGACAACCAGTGGGCCAACAGCGTCCACTACTAGCAACGAGAACGGTCCCGATAGTTCCTGGACACGCTCACTGCTAGCCGACTGCCTTTGATAAGGCATTATTGGAAATGACGGAAAAGTGTTTCTCTCTGTAGAATGGATGGTCAGCAAGTTTGTAATAGCAGATTTGGTAGCTATTATAAGGTTTCTATTCGGGAGAGGCTTGTATTTAATAGTGCAGGCATGTAGCACCCCACAGGACACTATTCGGTAGGGGGCTTTATTCGGGCGCATCCGTTATTCGAGTCTTGTAAAAAAAATTACAGGAAGCAAAAACACAAAACTCTTAATCGCAATACAGTACAGGTGTTCTGTTAATGAAGTACATGTATCGCAATGTCCCTTGATGAGCCAGGGGCTAAATTCGGTTCCATAGATTCTCTACCTTGATTAACCCCAGTTAGCGCCCGTTCACTTCTTCTCCGACCGTTATAGCCTCCTTCACACTGCCACAGACCGTGGGCCGCATGGGGCGCAAGAAGCTCGGCGTCGTGAGTCTCGCACTCATCACGTACTTTAACGTAAGTGGTGGGCCATGGGGGTCGGAGCCCATAGTGGCCGCGTGCGGGCCGTTTGTCGGCATCATGGCGACACTCGTGTTCCCGTTTATCTGGTGTCTGCCATTGGCCTTGTCATTCGCCGAGTTGTTCTCTGCGTTCCCGACTGATTCGAGCTTCTGCACTTGGGTGGGCAAGGCTTTCGGTCGTCGCATGGGGTTCCACGTAGGGTATTGGAGCTGGGTTTCAGGCGGTACGTTTGTTACCAAAATTCTGAGCTTAAATGTGTAACTTTGACAAATTTGCCCACTTCCAGTGATCGACAACGCCATCTACCCGTGTCTAATGGTAGATTCCGTCTACGCAGTGCTAATGGGACCTCACGAGCTGCATTCCTTCATGGTTCCTACCTGGATGTACCTCGTTAGAGTTACAGTTGCCACCGTATTCATGTTACCGACGATTTTCAGTATCGACGCAGTCGGCCGCTTCCTCTTAGTACTTG